TTTTTTTTTTATCTCGTTTCCCATGGCGTTGGATTCTCTTCATCTCTTTCGTTCGCGTCTCAGGACGGTCTTCCTAAATTCCGACATTTAATTGAATAGAAGTTGAATTTTCAGATACGATGTATCGGCAATTTGTTTACTGCCGTTCTCTTTCTCTCATTCGATTCGAGATGTCGTTTCTACTAGCTCTTTTTAGATATTCCGTTTCGAAAAGAATAAAATGGCGTGGAGGCGAGTTCCGAATTGCCAGGCGTCCTTCGTTGATCTCGGAATCGATAGGACCGATCAGCCGCGATAAATGAGACATCCTCTTCGTTCTTGCTCTTCCTCTGGTCTTCGTCGGGGATCTCTCTCGATTGCACGTTGCTCCTTTTTGTACTTGGCTCGATCATTCTCTCTTTCCCCTCGTTTTCGATTCACTCGCACGGGATTGTTCAACGATACGCAGCTAAAGTTAAAACACGTTAACAAACTTATAACTGGAATATCCCTCGTTTCACGAGTTTTCTCCTTTCCTCCTCTTCTCTCTGTACGTTAGTTAGTTGTCTTATAGAAAAGAACCGAAAAACAGAATCCTAATCGTTCGTGTATAGATTATATACTCTCTCGACCTCGTTTTCGTCCCCCCTCCCCTCCCTCGAACCCCTGGGTTTCATCATTTTTTTTTTTTTTTCGTTTTCCCCTTAAAAGTGCGAAACGTACGGCTTCTTCTTCTTCTTTTTTTTTTTTTTTTTTTTCGCAAAATCACAGAGAAATTTACGCATCGTTTAACACTGTCGTTTTTCGTATTTAGGATTTTCTTTTTTTCTACCTAGTCCACGATGGGCTCTACGATACGCTCTATAAATTTCTAGGCCTGCTGTTCGTCGTCGTCGAGGTCTTCACCCCGGTCGTCGCTGATCAGTTTCTGTTCGCTTTGTTTTTTTTTTTTTTTTCGGTTGCGACGCCCGCGCCGATGAAGAAGACTCGCGGCAGGAATAACGGCTCCGTGTTCTCCGACCGATGACACGCAGTCGTCGATCATTTCGTATCTTATCGATATCGTCCTTCTCTCCCTTCCTCTCCCGGGCTCTGTTGAAAATGTTAGCGCGGTCGCGACATTTCCTTCTTCGTTCCCGAGACACAACGAGGCACAAACCGATCGGTGGCCAACGCTCTACGCATGCGATTGGATCTTGCTCTTCTCTCCGTCTTGTCGGCCGCTTCGTTTTATTGCTGTCGAGGTTGAACGTTTCGCAGAGAGGAGGGCGGGGAAAAGAAAAAAAAGAAAGAAAAAGAAGAAAACAGCGCAGTCACGTCGAAACGAAGGTTTCGTTTCGTGCGAGAGTGTTGTCCACTGTGCCACCGTGTCGGAGAACGTTGTCCGGATACGACGATTGGTTCGCACGATTTTACGCATGGATCCTGGACTGGAACGTGTGCCGTCACAGGTTAATATAAGAAGGCGCTAGAAACCGATCGCTAGAAGACTACTACTGGCATAGCGTATATATCTATGGTATAGACTGCTTCTAGTGTAGCGTCCAGGATCCAAGCTTAAAACTCGGCCGCCAACTCGATCCGATCGACAGTGTGCAACGCCACTGTCGCTCATGGAGCCGTTAGTATCTCTCTGTATGCTAGTATAACGAGTGTCGTCATTGATACGAGTCCTTGTGGAAAGTGTCGCTCTTGTGGAAGATCCGCCGCCCCTCTCGCGAGAGCTCCTGACTCGCGAAATTGTTCTCAGACTTTGGTCTGGGCAACAGGCAAGCTGGAAGTGTTCTCAGCTCCATGCTGTGTACCTGTTTCCGAAATTCGCAAAGGTGAATTAATTTTTTTTCTTTTTTTTTCCAAAGCGTCAGCTTTCTTTTCAAAGACTTTGATTGATTGATCGAGAGAGAGAGAGAGAGAGAGAGAAAAAAGAAAATTTACCGATTCTTCACTGGCGCTAGCATGCGCAGCTTGCTCCGCGAGCGCGTTCACCACGGCGTTTATCGTTTTCGACTCGCTGCCAAGATCCTCCTCGCGATGGGCCACCAGATTCGGATTCTTGCCGATTTTGTTCAACCTATTTAACGGGGAGAGCACAATTAAGCGTAGGGAATGTTGCACGGAACACAACCAACGATTATTCACATCGATCGACTTACAAACCGTTTAGCAGTACAGGTAATTCCCTAAAAAATCGAACGTTATTATCCCGTCACGACTTGCAACAGATTTTCAGTTTAGTTATTCGTTCTCTAAATACCATTTGCACCGCTAAAGGTTTCAACAATGTGAGGTACAAGACTGGGTAAAAGAAAGTCAGTAGCTTTGAAATGCGAGCCGCAGAATCACATTTTCTTGCGTGCGTTTTAAAATTCATCCGTTTTAACCCCCGTCGGAAATAAGAAATGAGAATTCTGGGAATTGGAACAATTGGAAAACGTAATTGATATGACTTGAACTGTCGAGTTCTTTGTCTTTTAAATAAAAAAAAAATATTTTATATATATATATATAAAATTCTTCTTGAAATACTCAATTTGATTTATACCTCGATTGACAAGGTTGTTAATTCCTTCATATTGTTCCTGGAGTTTTCTTCAATTCTGCACCAAAGGGGTTAAAACGTCCAGCGATTCGAACTCAAAGTGAATCATAAACTTTGCACAATACACAAGCTATTGCAACTGATAATCGAAACTGAGTCGACAAGAGAAACAATATCGGTGCATAGAAATGACGAAAAACGTTGCTACGGTTACATATCTATGAAAGGTGCGTCAAATTCTCGATAAATCATAGAACGTTCCATCACGAACGGAAGAGAAGTAAAGTAAAAAAAAAAAAAAAAAAAAAAAAAAAAAAACAGAAAGACACATGTGACTCTGCGGAGATGCGGCAGAAAACCGAGAAATCCAAAACTGATTTATAAAGTATGTTTGCAAAATCATGAATACAACATTACTATGTATAGTGAATGTGTCGAGAGTGTGATATTTCGATTCGCGGTTGTTCAAGCTTTCTTCTTTCTTTTCGAACCGGTGAAACCCCGCTCGACTCGCGTCAATCTCTACAACAACAAACGGCGATCGCTCGTCGAACGGGGAATCGCGGGTGTGTCGAGAGAGGATATCTCGAGAAAAAAAAAAAAAAAAAAAAGTAAAGTTGAAAAAACATTCACCAAAAAAATCCTCTCGATTAATTGGGGACGCGTATCTAACGGATACCCGTCCCTCGATCGCAAGTTAGTGCGCTTTTCGTTGTAATACTCTCTCCCCAAAGGAAACAAAGATTCTGCACTGTCACGTTCAATAAGAGCGATTCCTCGATCGCAGGAAATTGTCACGACACGAGACAAATAAGATTCTCTTTCTTTTTCTCTTTTTCTTTCTGTGTGTATGTAAAGTGTATGTAAAAAACAAGCGTATCGAGTTGAAAACCAGCACAGAGAAATACGAACGAAATTATATCAGAATAATAATCATAGTAACAACAACAACAACAACAATAAAAATAATAATAATAATAATAACGATAGTAATAATAGTAAGAAGAAGAAGAATAAAACGAACAAAGTTGATGTTGAAGAGATAGAAGCGAATATGAAATGTTTTCAGATACAAACGACGATAATAATAATAATGATGATGATAATAATAATAATAAGAATAATAAGAATAAGAATGACTGATAGAGCTCGCATCGTCGGACAGTACACAATGTTCAACAAAATCAACATGGAAGTGGGAGTGATGATTGACATCTATTAGCACACCAACTCGATAGAACAAACCTAACCAAAGCTTATACCTCTCGGCGGCAACGCTTTCCATCGTTCTGCGCATTAATGGATACTGGTCCAGCACGGCGTTGAAATGATCCACCGAGAGGCTGAAGAGATTGCAGTAGGTCTCTGCGCGGACCGAGGCCACCCTCCTCGCGTTCGTCAGCAGGCAGATCTCGCCGAAGTAGGAGCCGTCGGACAGCGAGGTCGCGACCTCGCCGTTCGCCATCACGATGTCCACTATGCCCTCTTGTATGAAATACATTTTAGAGCCGATCGTACCTTCCTTGATGATGATGTCACCTGCAATGGAATTTCGCCGCTCGCGCGTTATTTAGTTAGCTCGGACTACTTGCTTCTCGAAAGGAGCGCGTTGCACACGTACACATATACGTATAGTGAGTGAGTAAACTTGTGAGAATACAGAGAGTGGGGCAGTTACCTGGCTGGAAGACTTCGTATCTCAGTTTGGTAACGACGTCCGAGACAAAGTTGGAATCGGCGTTGGCGAAGAACGGCACCGACGCCACTAACGATCTGCAGTTGTAGTTGATCACGTCCTGAAACGAAGCGAGAACACCTTTAGAAACTTTTGTCGAGGAGGCCGGTGTGTGTTACAGTTCGCTCGTTTCATAGCGGCTCGTACTTCTCTCAATTTCTCCGAGAGCTCGCCGAGGATCAGTTCCTCGTCGAAGAATTTGCCCTGGTATCGGTGCTCGAAATATTCCGTGATCCTCTGTCTCATTTCTCGTGGTAATTTTCGGTAGGCCATGTATTCCTCTACTTGTTTCACCTGGTTCGCAGGTAGAAATTGTTTAATTCACATCACGTTTGGAATATATTCGCCTTGAAATTAAAATATTCGGCTGAATATAAAATATCGTCAGATCGAAGCGTTAGATGTTCAGATCAAATATCATTAGATTAAAATATTCTATATCACTCGTGTGAACATTTTTCCCACATTCCTCCATTATTTAAA